TAAACTGTCGTTGGTATCATCGATATTAGTATTTCCAATTATGGCCGCTGGATAGACCTTACATTGTGTTAGAATGGTCGAGTTAATGTCGAGTTAATTGAGAATTTGATGGAATGGTGGATATGCCTCATTTTTGCAGTAATCTACTTAATTAATGAGAGGAGATTTTAATTTTATAATATGATCTGTTGAACGGTTATTATTATAGTCTACTTCGCTCTAAAACAAAATGAAGTGATAATAAAACTCTGAAAATAACATGCGGTAGTGTTAATAACAATGTTAGTTTTTGTCGTATATTTCGAACAATAATTACGTTAAATAGTGAGCAGTAGATAAATTGCTTTAGCTAATAGAAAAAAATTCAATTCACAGTTAACAATAGTGTTTGGATGATAGATGTTGACTGTACTGTTGACTTGGAGACTGTACTTCATTATATAAAAATAAAAATTCGTAAAGGCATTAAGTTCGCCATTTGTTAATAAATAAAATATAATTTATGAACTTTTTGGGACTGTTATAGTATAGGATATAATCGAATTCGCCAAACTCACCTAAGAATAATTCTATTAATAAAAAACACATGCTAAATTTTTGATTGTCAAAAATCATTATGACATAAATGGTAAGATGTAAATATTTTGAATTTATTCTAAAATAACCGACGTTCTGTCTAACTCTTCTATTGCTTGCATTGGCTGGAGCATAGAAAATGTGTAATTATAATAAACGAGCGTCATACGTGACGTGATTGCATCAGGACATGTATGAATTTATCTTGCAGCATTTTCCACTAAGTTAAATTAATATGGTTACACGGGAGACACCTTTCAGTAATACCAGAAGCTGTTCGTACCATGTCATTATGCGGTAGGCACGCAGTGGAAGGTTCTAGAGGCTGGAATATATTATAGCAAGATTTTCGTCGACGATAGTTTGCTGCCAGCGACTGCACTATAGCACGGGTATTGGATTTGGTATATCTTTCTTGCCCAAAATTATTGCTTCGCATTGGTATACTAATTTCTTAAGTTATTAAAAGAAATGGATTTTTTATTTTTATTTTAAAATTCGTTTTGTTAATTCGACCTTGTAAGTGATATATGCAGTTGCCAAGGTATCTGCTTCGGCGCCGGGAGTCGTGGGTTCGATTTCCGCACGGGACAACTGTTTGTGTGACCCCACAAATAATTGTTTCGGATCTGGCTGTTTGTTAACATAAAATTTATGCTTGCAACTCGTTCTTACAACAGAGGATTATGTTATCCTACAGTAGCGCCAACGTTCAAAAAAAAACATAAAAATTGTATGTGTAATCCTGTCCTATGTCACCGACGTAACAATGGTACAGAATTAGCGACGGATCATCATTTGCGGGCACTTTCACCAGCATCTGTTTCAGGGGTCCACATGGAGATAGTACAGGAAGCCAGGCACGAGCTCGGTCGGTTTCCCAATAACAATAAAATCAAGTCCGAAGTCTTATTACGAGCAGAATTGACATGTCCTATCGGAGAAGGGCTATTAAACGTACGTTGTTTATTGCACACACTTTCAACATAAAGGCAATTAAGCACTTCCTACAATAACGGTACGCTTTTAGAGTTCCGTAAATCTGCTTTAAAACCAATCTCGGAGACAGTTATGCTTACGAGTAAACATGCATGCGAAATGATAAACGCATGAAATATTTGGTTGCGGAACTGTATTGCTCTTTATGCGATTATTGTATATCTAAGAAATTCAATAATGATAAATATTTTCAAATTTATTTGTCATTTCTTTCTTCTTATTTTTTTAAATTGAAAACAAAGTCAGATAAGTTTCGAATTTTTGTAACATATAGTTAAAGATGTTTGCATAGTGAAATGAAAATATGCTTTTCTTATTGTGATTGTATGGCGATCAAGTTTATCCATAAAATAAAGATCACTCGACAATCGTGATCAACTAACTTGTCCGAAACGTAGATGATGCATTACACGCGTTTTTATTAGAAGGAATTCTATGGAATGCCTAAAATAAATATTAAAAATATACCAGCATGTTGGTTGAAATAAAAAGAGTATAATACTGGATAAAAGCCTCTTCCCTGCAGAACCCCACGCTAATAGCAGATTAGCAGACTTAACGCATTCGAAATTTAATATACAGACATATCTGTCCTATTCGTGATATTATACACATCCTTATCCGGTTTAAACGTTTCTCAATTGACATGTTAAGTTTAAAGGAAAGTCAACGTCCGAATGTGGAGCAAATTCTCATTTTATAATGCTCTTGAATCGCGTTTTGGCCTTTTTTATTGATAAAGGATGTGAGTCGATGTTCCGATAAAACATAACGGTGGTCGTAAATTCGTCATGCGATTTAGGCGTCTTACGCACCTTATAAATAATCTCATATAATATGTACGTATACATCTTTGTTCATGGTAAAATAGTAAAGGTTGCTGCAATAGATATGGAGATATAAATAATAGATGAGCTATTGAATATCATGGGTGCATGTTCGACCCACAATCACTAAGCTGTCATAGACTAAGACTATAGAAAAAGTATTTAATAAAATGTAATTAATTATTAGTTCTTTCATACTTTTATTGTTTAAAAATTTTATATTCATTTCTTTCGTCAAACACAAGGATACTTGTTATTGATTTTAATCGAGACGAAGAAGAAGAAGAAGAAGTGGTCGGGCCACGCAGCAGCCTCGGCTGTCGCACGAATAGGCAGGCTCGTTCGGGTAAGTACCACGACCTCACAGAAGACCGGCTAAAGTGGATGTATGACAAATACTTTCGCGTTCATCTGGTGAGTGAGGTAGCCGAAGCCCAATTTTCAAAAGGTTGTCAACGCATCTGTAGCCTTCGGGTGTAGCAGATGTCTATGGGCGGCGATATTCACTTTAACATCAGGTGAACCGCCGAATTAAACAAAACTTACAAAAAAATGCAAGTTGTTGTAACTTCTTAAATGGCTAAATATTTTTGTGAATTACATATTAAAATGTGATTATTGTATGTTGTTGTGTGTTATGTTTCCGAATAAAACAAAAACAAAAATAAATAAAATAAAATATTTACTTATATCGATTGGAAGAATGCTAAAACAATTTGAAGTTACAACATACATGTGTACATGTTAGTTTCGTAGACCTAAATCAAAAGTATCGCTCTAAGACATCGTTCAATTACGGACGCTGCGTCGCTAGGCAGCGGAATGGAACTATCGACACATCGACACGCGGACGTCGCGAGATCCGCTGCGGACGCCGTCCGTACGTGTTAATTAATGGCGAACGGGCGACCCATTAAAATCGTTGATGCGGGCAATGCGGCGGCCCGCGTCCCGGCCGCTAACTGTACCTGGCTCCCCGTCTTATCGCCGCATCGGAATCCTCTAGATAAATCGTGCTGCGGTCGAAATCGACGAGAGCACGGGTACACTCTGCGCTGTTGTTGCGAATTCCGTTCGAATGGACGCTTATAGTGAAGATCAATTTGATGTAATGCATTTTTATTCTAGAATATCGCTCTAGATCTTTTCTAACTTTAAAACGATCGGCTGCACGCGTCGCTCTGGTACCTATGTTGATATGATGTGATAAGTTCGATGCCCAACCACGAGGCCTGTCACTGTCTATTTAAATCTTTTGAACTACCAACCATGTTGTCTCTCCTTTGTGATCTATCTTTATCTGTTATTTGTTTTTTTTTAAAAAACTCTGCCCTTACTCTAGGATAACATTATCCCCTATTGTAAGTGTTTGTAAAACGTACAAATATAAATTTCACGCGAACAAACACCCAGATGCAAAAAAAATTGTCTGTGGATCACACAAATACTTTCTTTATTAAACTTACGAATCAAAAATAAATTCCCATCGATGATAAAGACAATAAGAGAGACAATAAGAAAATGTAAATGTTTCTACGACACATCGAGCGCATTGTCGAAATAAAAGCATACTGCAGCGAAGAAATCGGAAATTTATGGAATAAAATTTCATAATTTATAAAAATCCTTCGGCTTAATGACTAACAATTCTTCATTTTTTTAAATATCACCTATTATTCAGGAAATAATTGTCTTTACTATTGTACTTTTAACATACTTTAGAACGAGACCTAGATTTAGATATTATGTGTACGGTAACTAGCACTTTCTCTTTATTTGTTTTTGTATTTCTGCTAACCGATCCATCAAGAAATTTAGTAAATGAAAGTGATTGGAGAATTTCAAAAACATTATTTTGGCTGAGCGTATTTTTAGCCAATATATTTGCCTGAATCGGCGTATATAGAATTGCGCCGGTATTTTGGTTCGATTATTAATTATTTATTGGTAGTTAATCTGTCCATAATAAATCACGACCATATGATGGAAAATAAAAACGCGTGGTCTAATGAGCCATCAGATAACGTCTGAGGCATAGATAGAAAACACAATGCGTTAAGTCCGCTGAGCTCAAACCCGGGAGACAGAACAAAAAGCCTCCAGCATCATTAGTCTAAAAGCGTTTAGCTGAAGATACAGCTGATAAAGACTTGCGAATTTACGTGCACGTCAGCGCGCCAGTGTGGACACGGCATTGTGCCCGCTCGCGGTATTCATATGCCAACACTCGATTTATGCGCTGAAAAATACTATTTGCCGTTGCTTCCATAAAAAAAATCTCTTCGAAGCCCTTGGTCTAAAGCAACAAAGCTCATTTCCGCTTGGCATCCGTTTAGTCGACTCTCGTCTATTGTTTGCGGTGATCTGATCAATGTGCACAGAACCTCTTTGAAGGAATACGAGTTTCTTGTTTATTGCCGTGGCAAATTTAATTACTTATCTATTTGAGTAATTGCTCGTTTGATGGAACAGCTTCGTGATAACTGATTGTTTACACATTTGTACGTGAAATTCTTTGTTGTGATAAGAACCAACAGTATCTTGTCGCAGCGTATGAATTTTGTGATAGCCAGTAAGCAGTATTTCTTCTTCTTCTTATTCAGCATGTGTTCGCCCACCATTGGGCATATGCCTCTCCAATTTTCCTCCATTCGCCATAGCATTAAGGAGACAGCTGGCCCTGCCTGGACAAGGGAAACGAAGCAGTATCTTATTACTTCTATACTATTAGTTCTATTATTATTGCACGTTAATGCAATTGGTGCTAGAAGCACCAACATTAAGCATCTAAGGAATATCTAAATATACTTTAGACCTGAGAATAGTGAGTGTATTTACTTAGATTTTATTATGATTGTTTTATATAAGCTTCGTTTATAATTTGAATACGATGAAAATGGGCAGGGAAAACTGTCGCAATATTCTTCAACGCTACCAGGCTTCGAACCTGCTCCTTCCAGATCTACGCCCAGACGCTCTAGCCACTGAGCTAAGCGGTAGTGAGGATACTACGCGAAAATCTCGACGTCCTTCTATTTTTTATAGCATTTTTAATTTGTGAAGAGGTTACATTAGATACAGAAAAGAATTGCTTTAGAAAACGACAGCCCGAATGGGTGTCGGCCGATAAATCAATTGTTTACGAAACGTAACGCAGGAGCAGTAGGCGTGCACTCGGCAAGCGAACGAGGCGTTTACCGAGTTCTTTATAGTCTAACAGGCGCTCGGAGACTTTGAGTCTCCGATAGTCAATTACGGGCTAACGATTCGTCGGGAGGGACAACACAATAGAGTTTCATATTACCCGATATCGCTCGAACGCGGGCGGAGATTGGAGATAGACGGGCCCTTTGCGATCTGAAGACCACGGGCCAGAGCCGCGTCGGGTTGCGCCGATCAGATCCCTCCGGGGACTTGCCGTAGATAAAACAGACGCGATGAGATCGACTTCGGTACCGACATGGCTGGCTCGAAGCGTTGTTTATAGGCATGTATGCACATGAATGTGTACTATTCAAATTTGTGAACAAAATATATTTTTTTAAGACGACGGAAAACGAGAATGCAGTTCGTCTGATGTTGACGGATGAATGCCGCCCAATAATATCTGCTAAACGAACCTACGTTTATTTAGGATGCAGATGCATTGCCACCTTTTTAGAGAAATGCATAACCGGGGAAGGTTACCTTTTTTTATGTGAATAGTTGCCAAGCGAGCAGACAGTTAACCTGATGTTCAGGGAATACCGCCGCCCATGGACATCTACTACACTTGAGGGGTGCAGATGCATTGACAACCTTTTGAAAATTAGGCTCCGGCCACCTCACTCACTAGACAAAACGCGAAAGTATTATACTTCCACTTTACGCCGATCTGTGAAGTCGTGGTACTTACCCGGACGAGCCTGCCCATTCGTGCAACAGCGAGGCGGCTGCGTGGCCCTACCACCGGCAAAGCTAACTCAACAAACGCAAAACTGTAACATTTTTTTCATGGCCACAGTTTAAAAACGAGCATTCGGTTCACCTGATATTAGGCGTCCACCACCACCCATGGACCCCATTCCTCCAAAACAGAATGCCAAAATATCGCCAAAATTAACATTTCTTATGGCAAAGTGTTCACAGCCAGCCAATTAGCCATTTGTTCGAAACGCGTATAAGATAAACGTCTCTTGCATAGTTTCCGAAATGAGCTGTTTAACTTTAGCTAGAATTAACTACGCGCTTACGTGCGTTACCGTCGGCCGTTCGGAGCGGGCGGTAAATCAACGGTGATATTCTCATTAACATTGTTCGGTTATCGGGAACCAAACCTGGGGCTGGTCGGCGTCGCGTGCGTACGGTGAAAGTGATTGCAGCCGGACAAGGGTTGGGCATTATTAAGCGGAAGTACGCTTTATTCAAAGTTAGTCACAGCTGGCCGCGATAAATTACGCGGGTTGAGGCAAATAGCTGGCTTTTAAATGCTATATAAGACGCACACGAGTGCAGATTATGTATTTGTGCCGTTTGCTCTTTTTATTCATCTTTCTATGGTTCCGTACCCAAAGTGTAAAACGGGACCTTATTACTAAGACTCTGTTGTCTGTCTGTCTGTCTATCAGTACAGTAGGCTGTATCTCATGAACCGTGATAGTTAGACAGTTAGACGGTTGAATTTTTTACAGATCATGTATTTCTGTTGCCGCTATAACAACAAATACTAAAAAATAGCATAAAAAATATTAAAGTGAAGCTCCCATACAACAGACACGATTGTTTTGCCGTTTTTATACATAATGGTACGGAACCTTTAGTGCTGGAGTCAGACTCGCACTTGTCCAGTTTTTTATGTGAAAAGTTGTCAAGCGAGCAGGTGATTCACCTGATGTTAAGCGCCACCTTCAAGGTCATGTACAACATCCCTCGGCTTGTGTATGCGTTGAAAGACTTTAAAAATGTGTGCCCGGTTACCTCACTCCTTACATGAAACGCAGAAGAACACTTCCACTTCACGCCGGCCTTCTGTAAGGTCGTGGTACTTACCCGGACGGGCTTGCCCATTTGCGCAACAACAATTTAAGCTGTTGTGTGGCCCTACCACAATAAGCTATTGAAAGCTTGGGTCCGTGGACTTCTAAATATTTGTCAGATTTTCGTCCTGGACTTATCGCTGCTGCTGGTGATAGTAGGGCTTTATACTATATATAGTAGTAGATAGTAGTGGTACTTTACGCGCTCACAACTGTTCTGCGAAATGCAGTGAAATTTAACACCATGCACCGTGAGTATTTTAGATAACACATTAGTTTATATTAGAAGCTTTAATAGTCTGAAGACCGAAAGTGTTATATCAGTTATAGAAAATACAAAAAAGTTTATATATAATAATTCATTCGATAATTACTGGAAAACAAAATAAAATTAAATGTACAAGAAGAGCCTTTGCACTTTCTTATCGATTTTTACTTAGCAAATATTGAAAGTACTTTCGTTCAATTAAGAACACCGTCGTATAAGTATGATTTATGAACCGTTAAACCATTCAATCAATCTTCACATTAAATCATCAAATGAGTTAAAGGCAAATTTGCACGGGTATAATGGAGCTATCTGACCGATCGTATAAATATAATAAAAACTCGACAAAGTAGGTGAAACTTACCAGCCTACCCCTTTGCAATTAAAAGGTATTTAATCTTGCTATAAAAATCAGTGTCCGGCCTCTCGCTTATAATTTTATATACTCGAGCAACCTGAGTTCGATCCCAGGTGCCGGCACCAATGATATTGTTAATTTTAAGTGCTGACTTATCACGTGCTCAGCGGTGAAGGAAAACATCCTGAGGAAACTTGCATATTTCCGAAATAATAACAAAAAAAAAAATACTTCGAAGATATGTGAAGTCCACCAAGCCCCAGTGAGGCCGCGTGGTGGAACTATGCCCTAATACCCTCTGTACAGAGAAGGGCTCTGCCCAGCAGTGGGACATTTGTAGGGTATTACTTTACTTTTTTACTTTTATAAAATACCTAACCAAGGGGCTAGTGACGTCACTCTAAATTAGGCGTGGCTAGTGTGCCGCTTCTACATATAAGTCACTCAAATTTTTCAACTTATCTTGTTACAAAATAGTCCTTCGCCATTTTTAATTGTACCACTTTCTATAAAACATTGGTGCGCAAACAAGATCAAAATCATATATGAAAGTACACTTATTATGTACAAGCTTGCTCAGCCCGGCTTTGTGTGGAAGGAAGTTTAGTTAAAATTTCTAATATAACGCACTTATAACATTATTTTATCTACAAAAAATTAAAATTTAAAATGCTAAACTTGTTATATTTTATGACAATGAAAATGCGGGTGGAACTACGAGTATTATTTTTGACTTTTGCTCCCAAATTCCCACTTACATATATTAAGATAAACCTAACTTTTTTAAATATGGTCTTGTTTAATGTAGTATTTTATAAGAATGGTTTATATTGTTTCAGATTTATCGCGTCACTTATGAACATACCAACAAACGACAAAATATCGTCGTCTTATAATATGAGTACAGTTAATCACATTAACTTAATTGGCAGAGAACATGGATCATTAAGGTTGATCTTGTTCGCTTATCTTTAAAATCTTCGAGAGAAAGCCGCTTGTATGAAGCTCTGTTAATATAAGGATTTATTTGTAACTAGTGACCTACCGCGGCTTCGCATGGGTGCAATCCATACTAATATTATAAATGCGAAACTAACTGTCTGTCTGTCTCGCTTTCACGCCAAAACCACTGAACCGATTTAAATGAAATTTGGTACACAGATAGTCTTGACCCTGAGAAAGGACATAGGCTATTTTTAATTGGATAATATAATTTTTTTTAAAGAAAGATATTTATGGGCTTCAACGCGAGCGTAGCCGCGGTCGAAAAGCTAGTTTATTATACATATAAACCTTCCTCTTTAATCACTCTATCTAGTTAAGAAACCGCATCAAGATCCGTTGCGTAGTTTTAAAGATCTAAGTTTAATATTGACAGACAGACAGCGGGACGACTTTGTTTAATACTATTTATTTGTAATAAGCTCTCACAATCGCACGATTGGCGTGAGCAGCTGGAAGCAGCTGAAGTATTGGTTGACTTTATAAATTTGGTGTATACAGGAACGACAGATCGAGACGATTACAAACGCCTCATCATTGAAAGAACTTGCCGCTTTCTGTCTACTAGTAAAACCTCGAGAATTAAAAAAGTATGTATGTAACGTGGATCTCATCTATCTAGTTTTTAGTCTTCTTTCTCTAGTTTTTTGTTAACCATAATAAACGTCGTTTCAAGGTGAAAGCTTCGCTACAAAGGCGTAGAGCCGTACCAAAATCGTATTTATTCCCGTTTAAGAGCAAATCTGGTTGGAAGAAATACCAAAGGAAAGGGCTTTCTCAAGCTGTCTAGTGCTTTTAATTTAAAACTGTGTTACAAATAGTCGATAATCCATTAGACTTTCCGCGATCCAGCTTTCCTCCGTCGCTTTACATATTATCAGCGGTTCCAGTTGCACATACTATTAATCTCGGGCCCGGGGGAAAAGACTTTCCATTGGCGTATCTATCATGTAACATTACAATGCATGCACCCACAATTTATATAGAAAGTGTTCTCGCTGAATTGCGACCACAATGAGTACTGACGTAGGTTTAAGGTAAATGGTAATTATTAATCTTTCTAGTTTTTTCTCTATGAAATGCGATTTTTTTATTTTATCAGATATTTAAAAGTGGAAGGTTTATTAAAATACTTTATAACGCATCGTGATTTTAGTATAGTTCTTTAATAAATGCTATATATTAATCATTTTTAAAAGTAATGATATCAATTTGTTATTCGTTAGTGCGTTTATTCTTTTTACGATACCGTTGACCATTTAAATAAAATCCCGGTATAAGGACAATACTGGGCATATTAATACAGGACTTTTATCTCTATTTTATATATATATTTTTTATCGACACAACCCGTGCTCGATTACTACCCTTATAACGTAAACCTTAATGAAGTTTATTAAATAAATTTTTGTATGAAACAAACTAGCGGATTTTCACGTTTTAATTTCGGGACATAATGTTCCGTGGCCGTGGAAATTAAACGCAAAACAATCCTTAGGTAACTAGAAGCCCATTATATTTCAATGGTTGGGACCACTCTTGCGGCACTCCTGTCTGTGTTGGGTGTCCACTTTCTAACATAAAAAAATACTATAGATAACTGTTTAATTAAATAACTTGGAATTATAGGTAAACGTTAAAAAGTTGTTATCGGTTACCACCGTAACGACGCAACCCTAACGGCGACACCAACTTTAGGTTTACACATCGTAAGGGCTCTCATTCTCATCCTTTTTCCCAGACGCGCCAAGAGAAGTAAAATTTCAAGGAACAACACGTAGGCAAGAGTATTGCGCGGTAAGTTTTCGTGGTGGCGCTTGTAGAAAGCGATGTGCCGGATGACGGAAG